ACAGACCCATAACAAGAGAAGACATTGAAGAGGTAATAAAAAAAACTCCCAACAAAAAAACCCCCTGGCTCAGATGGCTTCACTGGAGAATTCTACAAAACATTCAGAGAAGAGCTTGCATCAATACTACTCAAACTATTTCAGAACATAGAAAAGGAAGGGATACTTCCAAATTCATTCTGTGAAGCCAGCATAACCCTGATACCAAAACCGGGCAAAGACACCACAAAAAAAAGAAAATTACAGACCAATATCTCTCATGAATATAAATACAAAAATTCTCAACACGATTCTAGCCAATAGAATTCAGCATCATATAAAAAAAAAAGACACCCCGACCAAGTGGGATTCATACTAGGTATGCAAGGATGGTTGAACATTAGAAAATCAATCAATGTAATCCACCACATAAATAAAACAAAAGAATCCCCTGATCATCTCAATTGACACAGAAAAGACATTCGATAAAGTCCAGCACCCATTCCTGATAAAAACTCTCTATAAAATAGGTATAGAAGGGAAATTCCTCAACATAATAAAGGGCAACTATACAAAACCAACAGCCAACATCATTCTTAATGGAGAGAGGCTGAAAACGTCCCCCCCGAGAATAGGAACAAGACAAGGATGCCCTTTATCACCACTCCTATTTAACATTGTGCTGGAAGTCCTAGTTAGAGCAATAAGGCAAGAAATAGAAATAAAGGGCATCCAAATTGGTAAGGAAGAGGTAAAACTGTCCCTATTTGCAGATGATATGATACTATACATAGAGAACCCAAAAAGCTCCACAAGAAAACTACTGGTACTAATAGAAAGATTCAGCAGAGTAGCAGGATACAAGATAAACACACAAAAATCAGTTGGATTCCTATACACCAATAAACAGAACTACAAAAAGGAAATCAGGAAAGAAATACCATTTATACTAGCCCCTAAAAAAATAAAATACTTAGGAATAAATATAACTAGAAATAAAAGACCTATACAAAGAAAACTACAAAACACTACTGCAAGAAACCAAATGAGACCTACATAAATGGAAAAACATACCATGCTCATGAATAGGTAGACTCAACATTGTGAAAATGTCAATTCTACTCACAGCAATCTACAAATACAATGCAATCCCCATCCAAATACCAACAGCATTCTTTAATGAGATGGAAAAACTAATCATTAACTTTATATGGAAAGGAAAGAGGCCCTGGATAAGTAAAGCACTACTGAAGAAGAAGAATATAGTAGGAAGCTTCGCACTACCTGACCTCAGAACCTACTATACAGCTACAGTAGTCAAAATGGCCTGGTATTGGTACAACGACAGACACATCAACCAATGGAACAGAATCAAGAACCCAGATGTACATCCATCCACCTATGGTCACCTGATTTTCAACAAAGGCCCAAAGTCCATTAAATGGGGGAAAAGACAGTCTTTCTAACAAATGGTGCTGGCAAAACTGGATGTCCATCTGTAAAAAAATGAAACAGGACCCATACCTCACACCATACACTAAAACTAATTCAAAATGGATCAAAGACCTAAATATAAAACCAAAAACTATAAAGATCATAGAAGAAAAAATAGG